CTCTACTCAGAACAATTTTAGCGGGGTAAAACAGATATACTCACTCCTCTTTCAAATCCTGATCTTCTCCCCCGCTTCCAGGATTGAAGGACTCGTCTGACTCATCTGTAAGTAACAGATTAAATGGAAAGAAAAAACACATGAATTCACCTTAACAAAATTATGCGAAGAAACAGGGCTCAAAATCCTCAAATACCAAAATTCAAGACTTTCCCTCACTTTCTGCAGGACTTCTTTTGTGTTTTCCATGGCCATAGATCAATGGTTTGGTTTTAAAATAACATGAAAGCAACCATTTGACGAACGTATTTCTTGCGTTTTTGTTGTAATAAAGATAAAAAAAACAGTGACCTTAGACTAGGAGCTATCCCTCCTTTGCGTGAGCCTCACACCCAGAGTTCTGCGCGGCGCGCTCACATCATTTTTTTTTTTTCCCAGTTTTCACTGATTTTTTTGTTACTCGCGCGACGGACTTCGCGGAAAAGAAGAAACTATTCGTAGTGTACAGCGAGTCGTCAATTCCTTAACTTTTCATAGGCGGCAACCAAAACCCACGACTTCCCGGGCCTGGAAAATTGCAGAACTACCTTTCAGATTCTGGTCACAATTTCAATGAAATGTGTCCCGTGCAAACTCTGAAAAACAGGCTAGTGTGGGACGGCAACACTCTCTGTGCGCTCAAAATAGAAATCCTATTTGTTCAATACTACAGTTGGAATTTGATCAGTACAAAGGAAACGGTTGAGAAGATTTTTTAGCAGTATAGGGATGGGCCAGTGGTATCGGCATCTGTCCTCAAGGCGGAGTGTGAATTAGAAATTACGTGCTTAGTACACACACAAACACCTTCGCTTGACTCTGACTCTTCGTATTTCTCGGCTCCTTCAGCCTTCATCTGCTCCAAGTACGCATCGTGAGAATCTTCGTCTGAGCCGGGCATCAATTCGTCTTCATACTGCTTTGATGACACCTTCGATTAAACCACAAAAATCGATAAACATATAAATAAATAATGATGAATAGAGAAAATGACAACAATAAAATAATTTTGCTTTGTTTACCTTAAGGTACCAAGCTAAATAGGGAGAATTTATTTCAAAATCTAGGCTTATTTTGATAGAACTGTTGTATTCACGTACAAAGAGAGGACCGTAAGAGCAAACGCAAACAAAACTGCAGGATTTTCAAAAGGACTAGGGGCAGGAATGCTGCAATAAAAAGTACTAATACTTCGCATGCACGCTGAATAGCGTTGACCCTCATCGTGGGCGCTCCGGCACGAGCGTTTCCGTTTTTTTTTTTAAGAGCTTGTAATGATAATTAGTGCCAGACTCCCGGCAAACCTCTCCCGGACTCGTCTCAAATCTTCCTGCGGGCAGAGAAATGTGCGTCTTGCAGCGCTAAGAATGATGGCGTTAGTCTATCAATGACTGCAAAATGGGTATCCTTTAAAATGAATGACTGACAAGAAAGAAGTAAAAAGTGTTATTTGAAATTATGTATTGTGTGCTAACCTTTCCTGTGTTCTTTATTCTCAGATGCTTGCCACTGACAAAATCGAATAGTTTTCCATACTCCTCTCTGAAATATGACGCAAGACAGATTAAAATTTCTCAAGCTACTTTGAAACCTGAAATATTTTCATGACTCCAGTTGTTGGTAATTTTTCCCTTTAAAACTTTGCACTGAAAATTGGCGTGCTGCTGACAAAGTTTTAATCATTTGCGCATGCCCGCGGTTTGACCGCTGCGTTGTCAATCTCGTTCCTCAGCTACCACTTATTCACCGAAAAAGGAGCTTATGATGAACGAGGAATCTGGGAACGAGCTTGCTGTTTTATATGCACGTGTCCCGTTTTTCTTCCCTTGGAAGTAGAGTGAAGTGTGTGAGCGTACTGTAGTGTTTTAACGCCCTTAGGATCGTGCTGGACGCCAGTGTCTTTTCATCATAATAAGTATTAGCCAGCGCTAATAACAAGGGTGTGCCCGCGGGCTCAATCAGTACTTGTACCATGCGTTCGATCTAAGACCTATTTGATTGAATGCATGTTCTACTTGCTCCCATTTTGTTAATGAATGCGTCGGAAAACCTCATCCAAAATTCGTAAACATCCTGTAGGCGCCACTTACTTTTCGATGCTACTAAACACGTAACTGACCCCCGACTTTGTCTCCACTTCAAAATCAAATGACCGACTGGATCCACCTCCTCCTGCCACACGGGCAAAGTTCACTGAGGAGATCTCGTCAAAGCGGATGTGCACAGGGGGTTTGTGCACAAATATAAAGCCCCTTTCTAAAGGGTACAGCATTCCACTGCCAGCTCTGTATGAACACGTGATGCAGCTGACTCCCGCATGACTGAAAAGCAGAATAAGAGTTAGGGCAAGACTGAAAAATGTCTCAATTTAAAAATTCGTTCATAATGGAGTCTACTTATATTTCTCTAATGGATCTATGTCACAGGTTGATTGAAAGAATGAATAGAAACAGACCTTTTTGCAACTTCTACGATGAGAAAATTCAAACATTTCACGCTACCAGCTTTGTTCAACGATATTTAGACTGGGATGTCTCTAACGCACAGAGAAAGGGATGTTTAACAAGTCATCCTGTCTTAACCCTTTAACACCCATAAGTGAGTTAAAGCCAACATGTAATGCGAATATTCAAACTTATCAGGTAAAGGTCAGTAGTCTTGATCTAACACCAAATACTCGCGATTTATTCACAAGGAAATGTGTAGCAGCTAGAGGGGAGAATTAACAATCAGATCTTAGGAGTTAAAGGGTTAAAGATTGCTGCCTAAATATTATTTTAGTCGGTGTGATAAGCAACCAATCACCTTAACCTGAGTAACAAAACACAATCTTAGAACACCAGAAACACATTACATTAATACGCACCTTTTAAATGTACCAGGAACGGTTATTCTTCGACCAACAACTGCCTTCATCAGTCGGCTCACAATCTCGTAAATTGGACCATCCATCTCCTGAGTTATCTTCCCTTCATATTTTTCCTTTAACTCCTCCCTAAATTGCAAAAATACCAAGATGTCAAAACACGCGAGGAATTCGGTATAAGATGTACATGCTACGCTTTAAACAATGAAGTTGGATCCGTGGCCGACCTACTGCACCTGCGCCACTGACGAACGGCTAACGTAAGAAACGTCAGCTTTAGAAACTCCTTACAGTGGCCAATTTACGTTATCAACTCAGTTCACAAAACCACATTAACTTATAAAACCTCTCTCCTCCCCTTTCCCCT